GTAAGCAGTGGTCATTTTAAGAAACCTGTTTATACTACAAGCTAACTACCCGTATTAATTAATCCGTGTGTGGAGAGTGCCTTCACTACTGTACATTCAATATCGTCCGGTGGTTTGACAGGCATAAGTCTCTTTTAAATTATTTCTCCCAGAAAGAGAGGCCAGTTGTTTTATCAAACAACGAATCCTTAGCACTACAGATTGTTAATGAGGAACTTACTCTCGTGTATAATGAAACCCCTACGAAACAAAGGAGAGGATCGTATACGATACTTAGTGAAGAAATGCGAGCCAAAGTGGCGAAATATGCTAACGAGCACGGAACACCAAAAACTTTAAAACATTTTGGTGAATTGAATTTAAAGGGATCTACTGTTCTACACCTAAAAAAAACTTACAATTCTGTTCGTAAAAGAAAATTAAATCTTGAAATTGATGAACTTCCAAGAAAAAAAACGGGGTCGGCCATTAATGCTGGGTGAAAACCTGGGCAAGAAAGTGCAGGAGTTAGTGACAGAAATTAGAGATGCTGGTGGTATAATAAATAGTCGAATAGTCCGTGCCATAGCAAAAGGGGTTGTGTTAGCGGAAGACAGAACGTTGTTAACAAAAATGGGGGGTGCATTGAAATAACTCGGCAGTGGGCACTCTCGATTTTGAAGCGAATGAATATGGTAAAACGACGTGGAAGCAGTACGGCTAAACCTGAAATCAAAAACTTAGAGGAACTCAAATCAAATTTTCTCGGTAAAATCGAAGAACTTGTTACAAAGTATGAAATACCCCCAAAGCTGGTTATTAACTTGTTCAGCTATTACCCGTCAGCAGGTGGACAATGGCGGAGAGGGGATTTGACAAAGTAAACATCGTTGGCTTCGACGACAAGCGTGAAATCACAGGTAAGAATACTGCAAATGAAAATTCTTAAATCATAATTAATAGGCTTAATTTATTTGAAAGCAATGTATCTTACTCAATACTGCATATTAAAATTTTGCAGGTGTAATGGCGGGAGCTTTGAGCGGAGATATTCTGCCACCGCAAGTAATTTACAAATGGAAATCAGATGCCTGTCATGCAAAATATAATTTCCCATAAGACTGGGACTTTACGCACACAGATAATCATTGGGCGAACCAAGAAACTAGTTTTCGTTATCTTGACAAGATCATTATACCGTACGTTAACAAAGTGAGGGATGAACTAGACCTGCCTTTGCGCCAAAAGACTCTGATCATTTTAGACTTTTTTAGTGCACAACTTTCCGAGGAATTCAGAGATCGCATGAAAAAACTGGGTCTTGTTTATGTGTACGTCCCACCGAACTGTACATCAGAACTTCAACCAATGGCCCTGAGTGTTCAAAAGATTGTTAATGATCACACGCGTGAACAGTTCGAAACGTGGAAAGCTGAAAAGGTCGCAGCGAAACTCAAAGCTGGTGATGAATTGGATATTAATCTTGGAATGTCCGTTCTCAAACCACTCAGTGCAAAGTGGCTTGACACAGCCATATCTTACCTAAAACGAAACCCAGAGAAAGTAAAAAAACTGGGATTTCAGACGCTCTGAAACTCTCATTTGAATTTTAATGTACGCTGCTACCCTACTTGATTTCAACAAAATGTGTCAAGTGAACCATGTTTTAAATTGTGTTTTAATTCACTATTAAGCAGACTTTTTTTTTTCTCTTTTTACACACGGTAGGGAATGTTTTTATCTGAAGGTTAGTTGAAGCTGACATCGTTTTATATATTTTATGACATGCGTGATTTAATAAAATGTTATGAAAAAAAAACTTTAAATAGTTTAGGTGTTTTCTCTCTTCTGAAATTTTTATCTGATTATTGAACGATGGCACCGTTTAGTATATTGTATGTACATGAATAATTTATTTCATGTACATGCGTAATTTATAATCTAATTATTGAACGTTGGCATCGTTTAGTATTGTATGTACGTGAGTAATTTATTTTATGTACATGCGTAACTTATAAACTGTTATGAAAATTTTGAGCGCTTTTTATTTTTAGCGCCAATGACAATCCGCAAAATTTTAAAACGTAAAGATTAATCAATAGCTTTTTGACCCAAATTCGCAAAAATAAATCGACGTAAAAATTTCGAGATTTACGGTAGGTAGTGACTTTCTTTGCAAAGCATCCGGCATCAGAGGTGTAAGTCACTGGTCTTTCGGATGAGACCTTAAAATCTCAGGTGTCTGGTCACATTAGGCGTAAGCACGATAAAGAATAGTGCTGAAGCCCTTCACCGACATACTTTCACGTCTCTCTATAAGTGAAAAATTATGGAATGGGACGTTAACTAACATACAATCAATCATTTGTATAAACCTGTATTTTTATTTCATTAAAATTGTCAATAAAACTGAAGTTCTAGATAAGTTGTTTTTTTTTCATTTTACGTAGATTATAACTAAACCACAGTTAGCCTGTTTAGTGTATCTGTGACCTTCAAGAGGCTATTAAAATCATTTTATTATTCTTTTTTTTTTTTTTTTTTTTTTTTTAATTTTTAACTTTTCTTACATTTTTCTTTTCACTGTCATTCTAAATGTTATGTTCCCCTTTTTTCACTCTACTAACAAATTTCAAACCTATGAAAGCATATAAAAGAATATGAATATCAGGTGTATTCTTTAATGATAAAACATCTTGAGTTCAGAAAAAAATCGACAGTTAGTTATCACAATCTGTTTTATCTTTCTAAATCTAATAATATCTGAGATAAATAACTTACTGGAATCAATGCTTTTGTTCTTAGACATAGATAAGTTATTGGACTAAAGTTTTGTTTTGTCATAAAGATAATAAGATGCTTAAAATCGTGTCGTCTCTTTATCTCCTAAGGATGATTAATGTCCTTTCTATCCTTGTTATGCAATTAAAAGAAAACATAAAAGCTCTCTTTGAAAATGAATCAAATGCTACTATATCATTTACTCATTGCATAAAAGAACGCGATACTTTATCAAATTGGAATACAGAGATAAATATATATTAAATATAAAAGGTCTCCCAACCAACATAAATTTTTCATTTTTCTACTCCAGTTCTATTGACTATATCAAAAACATATTCTGAGATCTGGGTTTATATTTGTGCTGTTGCCAGTAAAGCAGGTGACCTAAGGCTATTTCAAAGTCAGGCATTCAAATTACTCGCATACATTAATTTTAATAGAGATTATATTGCTACATGTATATTACATGTACAATGTATCGAATACCCTATTCAGGAAAATTATTCATTTCTAAAATCCTTTTTTACTTATGTAATAAACAAAACCATTGAGAATTTGAGACCGAGAAAGGCTCTTAAAAAGTGTTCATATGACAACATCATGTGTGTTGCTGTGTGATTTTGGACGTCTTTACATGGCAATAACAAATAAAATGTGTTTCATCCAGTCCATTTAATATCACACGTGCATAATACCGGTATTTAAAAATAAAATCAAAGATTGATGCAGGAATCATCCTTAAAAAAGAATTAATATTATTATGATTCATAAAATCAGATTAACAGATGGAGTAGTTTCGATTCATTTTTCATATATCAGAATGTTATATAATTCAATTACATCCTTCCAAATTAATATGTGCGACCGTTAGGGCGAGCGCAAATATTTATTCAGGTTTAATTTAGATCGGGCTCGATCGTCAAACTGCACATGACATTTGGTGCGTCTAGACTTTTACGTCACATCACGTCGTATTTAAGTTGCATTACCAAACCGAAGCCTGAACATTGTTGACTCTAATGAAGAACATTATTTACTATTTATCTGCAATATATCCATTAAATGAAGGCGAGTTTATTTTTTGTTAAACTGCTGTTGTTATTCTCGCGAGAACGTAGCTTAAACAAGCGATGCATTGTGGGTCCAGAATTACTGCGGAAAAATTCTATTGAATGAATGTGCACTAGTCCGAATTTTCTCTTCGCCCAGGCGTTGTCGTTAGAGCTCGCAGTGACGAGCGGCTCTTCGCGCCGCTCGCTGCGCTCGCTATTATTATTATTCGTACGAAAATAAGGAGACATTAGTAAGTGTTAAATTTCTAGAAAAAAAAAATAATAAACAGAGAGTATCATAGTAAATGAAATTCACTAAAGTGTGTAGTGCTTCAGTAGTAAAATGCCGTTGCCTACAAAAAAGCAAAGAAGTGTTTTCCTTTTTTATATCGTGCTCTAAATTTCTATTTTTTTTTTTAAATCTATAATATGCTTACATTATATAATTTTCTTTTACAGATAACACATTTGTCAACGTAATATAATACCTATGTTTCTAGAAAATATTAAATTTTCAAAAACAATTAATATGGATCTGTACATATACTGATATACACACCTTGTTCAACACTGCACAACATTATTGGCAATTCCTCACAATTTGCTGAAACCAGATTCTGTGTGTAGAAACTTGTAACCAAAAAGCGATGCTGTGTACGTTTCTCAAACGCTACAGGGGGTTAGTCGGTTTAGTCGAGTTCAGTGTGGCCTTCACTGTTTATTACACAACAAAAACTGTGCAGGAATGCTGTACAATAATGTACAGATCACTGTAAAACTGTGAAGTCTCGCCTTAATGAACAACCAGTTGACAGGAGTCGGATAGAAATAGGATGGGAACTTTTTGTGCACAGCAATGGTTTGTTCATGATCATTCCGACTCATTCATAATAATTTAGTCCTAAGCTTGACTAAAACACATTAATATTAATATCAGTGTCATTCATTTATTAATATTGGATCTCTAGACTACTTATAGACGTATAAAAAGAATTCTTCTTTGTTCCTTAAAGGCATCTTAATTCTTTTAAACCAAGCTGCTTGTACATGTAGCTTTCATGTATAATGAATAAAAAAATATTGAAATGACTATTTTAAAACGATTTAATCAAGAATTTCTTGTAAACATTTGTATATTCAAGTAAATTATTTCAAAGGTTGTGACTCAGGGTGGATACTGTACAACGGACATTGTTACATTGCGAGCCCAACTGCCATGAATTAATATTGGATGACTTCAGAGGTAAGGTTTACCTTAGGAACATGTTGTTATAATCTCATTTACTTAACAGAATAGATATTTTCGACATATTATATCCTTTCATATGATTTATGTGGGCCTCTGATAACAGGGATTAAAAACAACCGAGGACTTAAAGATTAAGGAAACACAGGTTTTTTCATACTTCATTTACAAGTCTTCTTGAAAACTATCCTTGTGAAATAGATTCTGAAGAACGAGTTCAAGAATCATCTTGTGAAAACAAAGAAGAGGTTTTGAGAAGATACATACCTTTTAAATAGTATTTGTTTTCTAAATCTCAATTATTTTATAGTTCATGGACTACAGGAATGAATCTTTACGTTAACAAATATCAAAGAATATACAATGGTTCCATCATTCTTTGTATTCTTTCTATTTCGATGTGGAGCAAGACCATGAAATAAATTAAATCACAAACTTAAAATTTTTACTATGATATAAAATGGACAAAATAGTTTCATCCAAACACTTTTTTTCCATACCAACGACATAATGGTTATTCCAAAACCAAATCATCTAACCCCCATGAAAATGAATGGGTCCAGAGCATTATATAATTACTATCAACATAAACTTATCTATAAATAATCAAACCCAACTGTTTGAACCTTAAATTTATACCAAATGTCAGAAAAAAGGTGCATGAAACCGGAAGGTTTTTGATTGTTACCGAATTAAAAATTACATATATAAAAAATTAAATCAATTACCTTGTTTTTAATGAAATAATATCATAGTTGAATCTTAATATAAATAGTGTTATAGTGTCCTTACCAAGGTAAAGGTCAAATGTCAATGGGTAAAACCGAAATTTAAAAAGAAATAGGAAGTGGTTTATAAAGTCCGGTAGTATATTTCTTCGTTTAATATTAAGTCTTGGAACCATAGTCATCTTTAAAAAATTACAAGTATGCTAAATGTACAGGACACTAAATCATATTGTACAGTTTACAATTGTATATCGATGATATTCAATGCTTTGTAGTTGGATATGGAATTTATTTCACGAGTTGGTCAGGATCTTTTTTTTTTGTATTCACTAGTGTGAAGCAGGAGTGAAAATATAAAAAGAAATGCTGTCTCGCGAGTTTTCATTTCATTTTTTTCAACGAGTTTTCATTAAATTTCATAGCAAACTATAGGGTAGATACAGATTTTTTTTCTGTATTATAAACGTATGCGCAGTTTTTTCTTCTATTTTAATTTGCAGTACAACTCTCTTTATATATAAAGGGCTTATATACTTGTTCTTTTTCATAGCAAATAGATCGGGATTTTGAAATATCAAAAACGAAGAATTAAAGACAAGTGAAAAATGTGTTACAAGAAAAGAGAAAAAAGGACAAATATCAAATAAAAATGTAGCTTTTATCAATTACACTGCTATCGGAATATAGAAAACATTATAAAAATGTTAAAGATACATTTTTTCAGCTAAATTGTAAGAGACTCGGTGCTTACATGGTTACAATAGACAATGACGAGGAGAATCATTGGATCATGGATGTTTTTGTGCCGTGGGATACTGGTGAATGACTAAAGATAGTTAATATATGAGTACAAGAAAGAATAAAGTTAATCTAGTTAAGCTGCATAAATATTTTATAATACGTTGATTCTTTGAAATTAATGCACATTTTAACCTGGTAAAGAGTTTCCACTATTAGAGTAAAAAAAAAAAAAAAAAAAAAAAAAAAAAAAAAAAAAAAAAAAAAAAAAAAAAAAAAACTCTGAGATACTGAAAGTAGGATTTGTTTTCCTTCAGCTACCTGTTCGATATTGTGGAGATGTTGTAATACCTGGATAGGGACAATTGACATAGATCAAGAAGGTTTATTTACCTGGACCCAACAAAGACGGACGACATATTGGAATTGGTTTACAGATGAACCTAATGATGCTAATGGAAATCAAGATTGCGCAACTTTGTGCCAGAATGGATTTTGGATGGATCGTACGTGCACATTTGTTGCTTCCTTGTCTGTGAAAGGGATTAAGATGAAATTTTTTTTTTATTTCTTGAACGCGCTGTAAACATTTTGCTTTCCTTAAAACAATTTGTTATATTCTCAGGTAGATTGACGAAAGCTGAACAAAGATAAAAACGAATTGTACACGTATACTTGTATTTCAATAAAACTGCTTTCTGAAATAAGCCTTTATGCGATTTTATTCTTATATTACGAAATGCAACGCAACGTTAAACTCTTACATTCATGCAGTTACGTTAGCTCAGTCGCTTAAGCGCTTGCTCCATGATCGGAAGGTTGTGGGTTCCAACCCCCGGCAAATAATAACCTTAGTCGATACAAAATAGACAGCAATTGTTTATTCGACAAGCGCTGGACACCATGAAGTGAAAGTTTCAGGTCTTTTGGATGAGACCTTAAAATCCCAAAGCCCCGTATTAATAGGCGTTGGCGCGATAAAGAACAGTCACTGCTCAATTGCCCTGATTGCCTAGTCAAGATCTAAATTTGAAGCTCTTCAGGGGTATATGGTGACGTCTCTGAAACATTCTCAAACAGAACATAAAACAAGATACAATCAATTAATAAATCTTGAATTTATTCAGGAGTAGAAGGCCGTAAACAGATATGCTACACATTCATATCTATGCGAAAATTATGGGCACGATTTCACAAAATTTCAAAAATTGAGAAAGAAGGGTCATTCATCTTTCGATAATTTTGTTGACAATATATTGCTAAGCCTTGATAACCTGGACGACAATTATCAGTATTTTTAGACCGCTAGACGAAATTTGTTGATGAACAGACTTAACATTAATATCTACCAATTGATATATTGGTCTAGTTCAGTAATCCGGATTCATTAATCTGTACAAGTTGCTGTTAACACTAGCTTCCTGATTAACGAGGTTCAACTCTACAGGCAATATGGGAAGCTATTTGATATTCTTAAAGTTTGCCTTTGAATTATCAGAAATTGTCAATATGTGTAGTTGATTATTTTTGCCAAAGTATTTTCAAAAATAAACTACTGACGGACTTTCGAACAATAATCGTTCTAAAAATACATATATATAGTTTATTGTGCAAGTAATTATTTACGCCCTTGATATTTGCAGTTAATATTCAGACCATTTTCCAATATTTGGGGCTACAAGGGGGTTTGATCTTCACGTACTGAGAGGTTATTCATCAAAGGCAAACTTGTTTATTTCCAATCAATGTACGGAATCAAAATGCCTTAAATCAGAGCAAACCTCTATATTTTGATAAAATATTTTCACCAGACACTTTATATTACAAAGGAAGAAGAAAAACGATATTGGAAAGTACTCGGAATATTGTACTGTTGATATTTATAAGAAGTGAGTTAGTCATTTGATTCGGTTCGCATGTATCGAAAACCGACCCGAGAATGCCGCCTCCGGTTCGCGATTTTCCACTTTTCATGATGGCACCGGTTTTCCTTGCATGTAAAATATCAAAATCGTGAACAAAACGCCTGGAAAACGTCAGATATTTCGGACTATAGTCTACTGTGACAGATGAGTGGACGAAGGTGCGTGGTGAATGAAATTTTATATATATATATATATATATATATATATATATATATATATATATATATATATATATATATATATATATATATATATATATATATATATATATATATATATATTAATAGCAGCAGTGACATTACTTTTAGTTCAACCCTCGTATCATAAAGGTTACATTTATAAAACTCGCAATATGTATACTTTCAAGACAAATTGATTTATTCATAAATGAAGAGTATTTCAGTTGATATATTGGTAGGGGTAGGTTTTCGAAAATAACATAAACACGTGAAGGTAAAATCCTTCCATAATGAGAAAACTAGTATGCTAGTGACAACAGCTACTTGATTTGTCTTCCCAACTGTTCATTCTATCTTTAAATTGATTGAAACTACTAAATATTTGAGGAAGGTAATGAATTGAATTCAGGAACACTTTTACATAAGAATTATAGACAGTACACAGGTGCATCGGAGAAACTCACAGGTAATCAGTCCACTTTCTACGAACTTGGAAAAATTAAGAAAAGGATGAAGTGAATACCTTATAAAGTGTAGTATCATAAGGTTATTAAATACATTTAAACCTCGTTATCTCGAAATCGATGATACAAAGAAAAAACTTCCAGCTATCTACGGATTCGAGTTAATGAGGGTAAAATATTAAAGAAATAAGTGGTTGGAACATCCAAATCACTTCGACTATTCCATGATATTAGAGTTATTGATATTCGAGATACCTATCTTTAAATGTACCTTTTATCTAAGTCATGAAAATGTTTTATTTTCTTTCTATAGAAAAAACAGAGTAATTTGAATCCTAAATAAAAATATATCATGAGTCAATGCATGGAGAAGCTTTCCTCTAATTTCATCATCCATTAATTAATTCATTGTGTTTATAAATAAATGAACTATAATATAAGGGTATGGTATGGAACAGGGATGGGGTAATTGAAAAAAAGTAATTGTATAAAACTATAATATAAGGGTATAGTATGGATGGAATCCCATTCAGGACCTATCAAAAATATTTTTGAATTCGATAAAACGAATTGTCAAATTTGTTATAACGAATTCAATTCTTTAAAACAATATCTTTGAATTCGTTATAACGAATTCAATCTGTTATACCAGATTTGTTGAATTCTTTATAATGAAATCAAGAATTTGACATAACGAATTTAATTTGTTATAACGAATTCTAAAACTTGTTATAACGAATTTCAAAACTTGTTATAACGAATTAATTTCGTTATAACGAATTTTTCAATTTGTTATAACATATTAAATTCGTTAAAACGAATTCGACAAATCGTTATATCGAATTCAAATATAATTTTCTATAGAACCCGATTGTTGAATTTGATAAAACAAATTCAATTCATTAAAACAAATTTTAGAATTTGTTAAAAAGAATTTAATTTGTTATAACGAATTTTGACTCGATAAACGAATTTAATTCGTTATAACAAATTTTTGAATTCATTATGACGAATTCAACAAATTTGTTATAACAGATTGAATTCGTTATAAAGAATTCAAAGAAATTGTTATAACGAATTAAATTCGTTATAACAAATTCGACAATTCGTTATATCGAATTCAAAAATATTTATTGATAGTTCCTAAATAGGCTTCCGTATTATAGTGTTCAAAAGTGGGCAGAAAATTAATTTGTGTGAAATGCTTTTAACTTTTAAAGGCTTTTCATTGAGTCCGAACTTTTCATTTTTGAAACCCAGTTGGGAATATGGTATTTAAACCCGGGTAATGATTAAAGCTTGCAAAATAACTTTAAAAAATTCTTAATGTTGCGTGAAGTGACTATATATTTGTGCGATTTATTCGATATATTTATATTCATTCCTTGCCTGTTGATTTCTCGCTATAATTGAAATCTATATTAAATTTATTCAATTCAAATAACTGTTGAACAGTCTTATTTTTCCAGTTGGTTTTAAAGAATTTAAACAAAATTGAAACATCTTTACGAAGTCAAAAATTTATTTCAGTGTCAGAGATATTCATGAATAGCTGAGGATATTCATTTACAGTTTATGCCCTGTAAAATATGTATAACCGCCATGTAGATAGACATTTTTCCCGTTATTTTTCGTCGAAACCTTGCTTCCAGTCTTCAATGTAACTATCATATGCCCACATGTACTCATCCAGGTGCTGGCCTGATGTTCAATTATTGCATAAGAATAAATCTTGCCATCGACATCTCCACCTAAATAGACAGTTCCACCCTTCTTCGTCAAAAAACACCAACTAAAGGAATAGACACCGGCCTCTTTAGCAGTGAACACACCATTGTCTGGGTCATAACATCCCCCGATATTTGCTGTCACTGTTTTGTATTGTACTATGGTATTGTGTGCAAGACTGTTAATGCTCTTTGACAGTACAGCATGGAAAGCTGTCGTATGATTTTTATCTGCAAATATACGAAAAAAAGAACTAAAACAGTTATTGCATCAACCAATTCTAAATGACAAATATTTATTAATTGATGATTCAATTACTTTCAATCACTTTTCAATTTAATTTGAATGAGGAAATCTCTTCCTACATTTCAATGAAATGAAAATGAAATAAAATGCTAACCTTAGACGCTATATCAATTATATTTCCTACTTAAACTACTCCGACATACAATAAAGTCATGATTAGTCATTGATATAGAAGCATTCTTATGTAGTGTCTGATTTTATTTATTTATTTATCTTTTTTCTTGAAATCGCTTCATTCAATTTTCAGAGTACTATACTATCAAATCATCATTTTCCCATGAGACTTCTGTCTATGGAATAAACCAGAAATGATTGACAAAACATCCTACGTATTAGCATTTGGCTGAGTTGTTTTTTATCAATTATAAGGGGAAAGACTTAAGTCTTCTTTTCTGATCTTTATAATGGAGTTCCTTGAATCTTTGTCGATGGCTTCATTTTGAATTCACCTGAGCAAACGGCTCGTGCGAGCTTTTTTTCTGATCAAAGGGTGTCCAGTGTCGTTTATTGTGTATCGTCATTTTACACTTCTATAGGCCCATATAGCAAATTTGAACCAACTTCCAACAAAGCATTAATGAATAAAAGGGATTCAACTTTGTTAAAAATAAGAGTCATTCCCTCTTTCAAGAGGAGATGATAATGAATTAGTTAAATCATATAAATATTATATTTTAACTTAGTAAAGAAGGTGACATCTTTTAAAAATCATCTTCTTAAGAGCCATTGGGCAAGAAAAAAATCAAAGAAATTTATGTGAAAGCTTCCTCAAACAGAGTTGAAATTTAGCTTGTCTAAATCAAGACCATGGGGTGGGTTTCAACCACAATAGAAAAAAAAAATTCGCATTGCAATTTGTAGGAAAAATATCTTTTAAAATTTTCTTTTCAAGAACAGAAACATTATAAGTCATTTTCATTAGCACGTATCTTCAGGTAGAGAAGATTCAATTTTGTTCAAATCATGTCCGCTGGAGTTGAGTGGGGCCTCAATGAAGGATCTTTTTTTTTACCTTTCACAGTTTTCTTCTTACAACATGGTTCCCAACCCATTTCACGACAAGTTGCTTTGCAGTTCATGACATTGTTTAGAAATCCTTTTGAAGTAAGCGTGGAGGTGGCAATGCTGGCAAGGCATAGTAAAGTTCCGAGGAAAACAATCTTCATCTTTGATGTTTAAATTACCTTTTCAAAAAAAGAAAGTTTTAGAAATAAAGCTTATATTTTCCTCCGCAAAGCTTAATTGCAGAGAAAGTCAAGAAACTTTAATATGAACTTTGTTATGTTTTTTGAAAAAACTATGTTCATTAGAAATTATCGATAATGATTTCTAGTCAGACCACAACTCTCTCCTGAGTCAATTTGGTCCTGCTGTTCTTCATCAGTAGATTTTGTTTTAAATTGACATTTTTAATTTCATAAAATTTTGATTCCACATAAGCGACCGAAATCTTCCTGAACAGAACTATTATTCAATTAAAGTTGAATCCATACAACACTGGGATGCTTCAATATCAATACGATCAACTTATCCTTGCTGTTCTGGAGGGTTTTTTTTATGCACACATGTATTTTGTAAAATTTTTATCTTTTATTTCCACCAAACCCTGTTCCCAGGGATCATAATTCAAAAAAGCCATTCCACATAATTTAGGTATGTTTTGCTTTTAAATAGATTTAGAGTGATCTTGCCAACCCATTTCCGAGGACCCTGATCTAAACAGAATTTGAATTTATATTACCTGAAGATGCTTGCGTATATATATTACTAATACTGATTTTGTGGTTCAATAGAGGAAGCCTTTTAAGGTTTTTTTTCCTATATGTTTCTATATAAACTGCTTCTATTGAAGTCCCGCATTAACCAAGGGTCCATGATTTGAACAAAGTTGAGTCTACAGTACCCGAGGATGTTTCAGTATGTTCTTGAAAAAAAATATATTTTTGAAGTTTTTCCCTATATATTCATATGTTTTGAATTCTTACTGTGGCCCCACCTTATCCCAGAGGGGACATGATTACAACATTTTTTTAAAATCTATTCTACATAAGGGTGCTTCCATATCAAAATAAATAATCATTGCTTTGCTTAACTAGAAGATTTTTTTTAAAATATGTTTCCTATGGATTAATTCCCTTGTAAACCTTTCATATCCTATTGTGCCCTTTACCCAGGGATGCTTTATGGTGTTTCTTGAGAAGTCAAAAATGTGGAAATTTTACAGAGGGCTCAGACAGGTAGACGGACAGATGTACGCCGGACAAAATGTGATCAGAAAAGCTCACTTGAACTTTCAGCTTACATTGTATGTGAGATAATAAAAATGTAACTGTACTTATATGTACTCCAGATTAAAAGTTTTGTATTTGAATTATTTTTTCATGTCTATACACATATATACGTGTAACCAATATAATTAAAACAATATTTGATATATCTGATATCTGAAACCAGTTATTAAACCCAAAGTGAAGACACGGAAGATATACACACAAATTATTTGCAAAAACACTTGTGCATCAGTCATCCATAAATTGAAGTAAAGAGTTAGTGTGACGATATTTTTTTTTCCGATGCATTCTTGTAAAGTGCAGTATGAAATAACAAAACCTTTTCAGATAAAAATAATATTCAAACTTTTCAAAAATATAAAGTGTAAATGTAAAAAGTATGAATATATCTAAATAATGTTTTGAAAGCATTACTATGTTTTTTAATAAGATTTCTTGATTATTAAAATTAAAATTCTTTGATTAAATTTCTTAATAAGTTCTTATTTTATCCACTCTTTAAAAACTCAGATAATAGTACTAAGAACTAGAATCTAGACAGTCAGTTTGAATATGGATGTAGCGTTTGTCCCATCGTTTGAATTAAAGAAAAATGTTTTAAAAAAATTTTTGGTTAATATACTGAAAAGTAAACGTGCATAAGGTCTCTACCAGACTTACAAATAAAAAAGAGTTCACTCCTTCAGCTGATTTTTATCCTATCCCCACCCCTTTAAAAATATCAACCAGCCTCTTTAACATTGGAAAATCAATAATATTTCGTTTCTAATTTTTTTTTACTGTTATCAAAAAAGTTTGTAACGGTAAAAGTAATTCTCATGAACAGCTGACTTTGACTTTTTTTTTTTACATTATATCTTGATGATTATAATTATTAATATGTAACGTAACCAATAATAACGGGAAAAAATTGATAGAGAGGAATCGATACTGTACAAAATCTCATAGAAAACTGTTTGTATGCAGTTTCCGGCGCGGAAAAAAAAATATATATCCAGTTTATTTCTTGAAAATATTTCTATTTAGAACAGTTCCGAATGCCATAAGTTTGATATTCAATACATGTTCAAAAGTCATAGTACGGTACTTAAGTTTATCAACACTGAAATCATCCGGTATACTGCTAAGCATATTAGTACGATGGCCGACAGCGGCCGCCACTTTCTGATTAAGAATATTGTCATTTTGTACAGTGTTTTTGTCAATTTTCGTAATGCTATATGTACATGTACACTTTTTACACTGACAATTTACACCAGCGAAAAGCATTAAAATTCTTTCGTGAGATATGAAATTAAGATACATAAAACAGGTGGCTTGAAAGAGATAAGGAGCATTTTAATGATTTTCACCCTCAATTAGTCTGAGATATCGTAACCCAGTTAATCCTAGATTAGACGTTAATCGTCATTCTGTTACCTTGGTGTATCATTAAAAAGATATTCTTGGGATTGTAATTAAAAAGGCGAATAAAAGTAATACGTTTGTTGTAATGGATATACATGAATATAATGGATATATCTCGATCCTCAAATTGTATGAGACAACTCGTTTCTACCCATTATGCAGAGGTAGAAAAACAGGATTTAGTAGCTCTACATGTGAGCATCCAATCAAAAGTTTATGGAATGTATCAAAAACAAAACTTTAGATACGGAAATATACCCGTTTTTAAGCAAGAATTAAATGACAACTTTAAATGTGGGAGTCTGTATTGCTTTCTAAAGACATAAAATTAATAACTTAATGCTTGAAACACTTTTAAAGGCCAACGCAACCTCTCAAGACTTCCACCTGATCGGCCATTTTTTTTTTTTCATGTGGCACGGGAATGAAAATATAGGTACATGTAACTAATTTGATCATTTCCTCTTGTGCATTGTTTAAAAAACAAAATTCATTTATCAAAGACACGTCCGATTATGAACAAAATCAAATTTCTGATAGACCTGGAAAATTTCATCCTGGTTACCTATGATGTGACCAGCAGGTACACCAACATGGAATTTAATGAATTAAATGAATTACTACAATCTGTCGAGAAAGCATATCTAGAAGACAATACTAATTTGTAATCACCCCGACCTTGCTGTTCTGCTAGAACCTTAAGCTTATCACCTTCAAATAACCTGTTTTATGTATCTTCATTTCATATCACAAGAAAGAATTTTAATAATTTTCTCCAGTGTAAATTGTCAGTGTAAAAACTGTATATGGACATACAGCATTACCAGTTTAGTTGTAATTTGTCAACGAAAATTGACAAAAAAGCTGTACAAAATGACAATATTCAGAATCAAAAGTGGCGGCCGCTGTCGTCCATCGTATATATGCTACTGCCAATATCGCCCTTGACCAATAGACCCACACCAATATGAAGTCTATAAGGAACTCAACCAGTCTTGGTGTCAATTTGCAATCTGCATCTTATTCCGGGCTGGTCGTCTTGTTCCTCGATCATCACCGCTTTTTTTTTTATTCAAGTATCAATACCAACTAGTACTTTTCAATTCATTGTCGTCAAATTTCCTGTCTTATGGCTTCAAAATTAACACTTTATTTTATTACTTTTCACGCTGAATAAAAAGTACAATCAAGATACATGTATGTATTTGTGTAAATGAAAAGACATTACGAAGCGTCTAATAGTGATACTTAATTACGTAAAATTCCATAACAATTTTTACAGTGGCAGTAATGTTATTGTTGACAACTTAATTACACGAACGATCACGTTACACGAACGATTCCGCACGATTAACGCACGATTAAACCTGTTACTCGAAGGAACCTACGAAAGACCTGATATTGACCTGATGAAAAAACTCATATAAAATTATCAATTTAAACATTATATTTCATATTTTTTGGGAAAAGTATTTATGAGGATAGCTGATTCTATTCTAAAATACAATTTTAGGGGACAATTCTGAGAATGTTTGCTTTATATCAAGGTAAATTTACAAAATTTAATGACCTAATAATTTTGAATGACCTGATATTTTTACTTAAGACCTCTGATATTTTCAAAAGACCTGGTGGTTTTAAATGACCTGGTATATTCTTAGAACATAATTTTTGACAATTAAAATAGATTTCAATGTTTATGAGATGAATATTTGTAACAACATGTGCAAAAAAAAACAAAAAAACAAAAAAAAAATAAAAAAAAACAAAACAAAACAAAACAAACAAACAAACAAAAAAAAAAAAAAAACGACTTTGAAGTGACCTGATAATTTTTCTACTAAAGACCTGATTTTTAACATGACCTGATATTTTGGAATGACCTGATTTATTCTGATAGCATAGTTTAAGATAATTAAAATAGATTTCAATGTTTATGAGAAGAATATTTGCAGCATTTCACGAAAAAGTGACTTTGAAATGACCTGATAATTTTCTACTAAAGGCTTGATTGTTTTGCTTGATATTTTGGAATCACTTAATATATTCTTATGTCTGCAGTTTTAGAGAATTAAAATAGATTTTATATTGAGATATATATATATATATATATATATATATATATATATATATATATATATATATATATATATATATATATATATATATATATATATATATATATATATATATATATATATATATATATATATATATAATATATAAATTATATGATATGATATAATATAATATGAATTATAATATGAATATTTGCAGCAATTCATGAATTACACGAACGATCCTTCACGCACACGATTCTACACGTTACACGATCTTACACGATTGCTAAGGCACAATTCTTTACCCAAAATAAATAAAAATATTTAGGAGTGGATATTTTCAGAACGAAATAAGGCTTAATAGTTACAAATAATATTATAATTGATGCAATTTATCGACTTTAGAACACTGAAAAATTACTTAGTAATGGATATTTTTGAAACCAATTAAGACTTAATAGTTATTTTAGATTACAAATAATTATTTATGAAACTCTCCGACTTCGTTATGATGTAATTTTTGATTGATTGCTACATGTTCTATGAGAATTGAAATAATATAGGTGCATGACCGTGAGTTTTGATTCCGTTGGACTTTATGATATGCAGTTAGGGGAATAAGATTAAAAAAATAATTTCATACAAAAATATTTCCATTGGTGAATCTCTAAAATCAGTAATTAATTTACAATTCATTTATTTGCAGAAATTATAAAAATAAAGTAAGTATCAGAGATAAACACTGATGAAAGTAACCTCGACAATCATGTCGGTAACATTTGCCGACTTAATATTTATTTCAGCATTAAGAATTATTCATTTTTTTGTTAAGATATACATTTCTGATGTATCGATAAAAAAAATCTTGACCAAACTTTGCAGTAAATATAATGAGCATCAATGTTCAGAAAAAAAATAGCTGAATATCTAAAATACATTTATCATTTAAAAATGTTACAATATTTTAAGAAAATCTAATATATTGAACGACTTACTATATTGCTTATTTATTAGCGATAATTAGTTCGTTCAATTATGTTAATCGCGCTTCATTTCTTTAAAACAGACAAGCGAATTGCCTGTTTAGCAAATTACATTCCGATAAAAACCTACAAAACGAAATTTGCACGTTTCTTACCGCACGATCACGAACGATTAAAACCGCAAACGATTGAGCCTGATCAATACACGAACGATTCCTCACGTTACATGAACGATTACGAACGTTTCACGAATTCTATACGACTGGTTTGTCAACAATAACGCTGCAGCTTCAGTAACATATAACTACAGTAGGCAGGTGGAAAAAATACCGTTTTACTGGTTATGAACATCTCAAAGTGTCCTACATGTGCATAGTTGCGTAGCTGAATATTTTGACAGCATTTCATGTACAACAAGATACATATTTATGTATTATAGTAAAAGACAGGTTTTTACGTAACTCAAGAAATAATAACAAGAGATAGAAGCAATGGCAGTTTTGAGAATATATTTGATATTATGGGATCAGTACGTTTGGCCATTAATTTTCCTGCAGGCACGACATAATCAGAAATTGTCAACGTAAATAGGCATTTTTTAGTGTTTGGTTATAAAGGCTGAAAAAAGTTATTATGGTTAAAACTTAATAAAGCTTGTAAAATGATATTGGAAAGAAATTCTTAGTACAAGCATGGATCTTTGAATAAGTTTCTGGATCGTTTACCTTTATTTATTTATTATTTATTATTTGCTAATGCATTTTTGTCAGACTTGTAACCTCAAGGGGAAAAAAAGATAAGAAAGAAAAAAAGAAGGAAAAAAATATTAGGACATTTTACTTATAGTGTGACGTCTTTGCTGTTGATAAACAAGACTATGGCGTTAGGTTCTCTCAATACAAGTATCCCTCTATGCATGAAGTAAAAAGAATTAAAATATACATGTATCCCACTTCCAGTGTTCAAGTGTTCTGGTGCAACATGTACAGTATGTATGAATTCCTGCAGATAGGACATACGTGACAATCCCTAATGAATATCCTGCTTATCAGGAAATTAAACAAATTTCATACCCTCCCCTCCCCAGTCACTATGCAATATTGTGACTTGCTAAAGATTATTTTAAAAAACAGATATCTACTACGGTCACAGTCTCGTCAACATCATTATTTTAACCAGGTCAACCACAATTTACCTTGATCTGATTGCAGTGAGTGGCGGAATATGCCTCAGGAAATCATGTATCTATAAGGTAAATATTTTGTGTAAAAGAATTTACTCTGTGATTATTCAGATAAATGATTTGAAAATTTTGCGACGTAAAGATACTATTTTAAAGTTTTTTTTAGTCGATTTAGTATCGATTAAAGTCGATTTAGTATTTCTTTTTAAATTATTTTTTATTACCAACAGGTGTTGAATAAAAGTAATTTTTAATCTCATATTTCGTATCTCAAATTTTACTGGACATGTATATTTCTTTCACTTGAGGCTTTTTTTTTAATTTTAGAACTAAACGAAGGTTAGAAGTGTTGAGTAAATAAGAATACGAAAAACATAATGAAAATCGGTATCTTAAATTTCAACCATCGTGAGATCCGACTACACCTAGTTTGATATAAAATCCTTCCACTATGAGAACAGCTGGTTAATATGTATCTGATGAGCACTTGAATATCGTGTTTCTTTTGAAATGACCAACTTAACCCTACCTGAACTGAAACTCTGAACTCATAGTGAAGTGCAAATAGGTAGCAACCGCCTTGCACAACGTTTGCCCATTAATTCCATGAATAAATACGATTTTCAAATATTCATGACTGTATAAGAAACGAGTTATGTTTGAAAAACTACACATCGCCTTAATTCAAGATCGATTATTACAATATTTTGGATTTCCAACGTCTCAGCATGAGCATCACTGAAGAGACAATTTGTTGAAATGCGCATCTGAAGCATTAAAATTTGTACCGTATGTGATTTATATTTTGACCTCTGGGTCGAGGCCTCTGCTGGTGGACTGATAGTCCCCGAGTGTTTCTACAGCCCAGTAGCTAAGTACTTCGGTACTAGCTTGAAGATACGGACATACATTTAATTGCCCTAGTAAAATTTAGAAATTTATTTCAAAATTAAGGATTATTTCTCTTGTGCATATCTCTGATTCTTCGACGTATGTGGCTCCAGATTTTGGCACTTATTTCAGCTCTTAGGTCTTTTTTATTTAAATATTTTGGATTTCCACTGCTTCTGTAGAAGCATTACTGAGGAGACATAATTTGTCGAAATGCGCACCTGGTACATCAAAATTGGTACCGTATATGGTTTTCATTACATATTAACAATTCGTAAACGGCCATTTTGCCAATGTAGATAAGACTCATGTGTAAGACTTTTAGTTTCCTATTAGCATTTTTTTTTCTTTTGGACTTTTTTTGCATGTTTCTTATTGTGTTATCAATATATTATAACATAATCATCGCTGATTCACAAAAATATTATAGCTAGGCGAAGGAATCAGTACTATTAATAAATTTAAGAACAAGGTCACATAGGGCCTATTTTGGCCCTGTGAATTTAGGAAAAAAAACAAAACTGCTCAGTTTTAGTTGAAAATACCCTAAATTTTACATGGACCCTTGGTGACTCCATATCTATTAAAAATGACGTAATTTCCTCTCAATTCTTTCTAGTCCATGTATTACCACGTCATGAATTGCATCATTATCCTGGAAACCTGAAAATTAATTCAAACATGGCCAAATTTAATACTGGTATTTTACATAGACCAAAACATCTATATTGTAATCCATATTGTAATCCATTTTGTATTTTTTTTTGGACCGAGGGCTGGGCGTATGTTAATTCTATGCTGAAAGTACTCAATTAAACCAATTTTATTCAAAATTCAAGAACATTGCAATTGAACAAAGCCTGACTTTCAATACCTGGAATCGCAGAGGAAACTTTTCATAATACAACACCAATTTCCAACTTTATATTGATGTTTGAAATTGGTCATTGAGTCCTGATCAGTTAATTGGGGTATGGGCAAGGCCATTTTATACTCTTGCTTGTTATTTGCTAAAAACAGGATACATATTTCAGAAATAAAGCCAAACATGTATTTTATAAAAAAAAAAAAAAAAGGATCAGCAGTAGCCATGCACTTTAGAAGGGTATATGGTTGAAAGAAATGTTATATTTTGTAGCAGATCAACGAACAAAAGAATGAATCTTCGGGATACTGGTGAACGTAACAGAAGAGAAGAAGATCTTTACATCTACGTGGACCATGTAAGAAAATGTTTATATGTAACCTTGTTTCTTCCGATAAAAATATCATTCAAAATATCAGTACAATATAAAAATGTTTATGTTTTTGTTTGTTATAAGAATAATTCATTATTTATTTTAACTACACTCTAAGCAACAGTTTTATTTTAACATGTACTATATGTATGTATTTATTGAGCTATTGTATTTTAACATTATTTTATAAAGTTTATAATTATTTACAATTTTAAACATACATGATTTTTGATTTTGTTGATGCAGAAACCTGTTCAAAACAATTCAATAAATATAGATAAGTATGTGTCGAAAAATTCGAAACCATGCAGTGTTCCTATTGGTGTTTTATTTATTACTTCAGTCATTTCGCGTATTTGATTGCAGAGTTAATACATACAAGGTGGCAATCTACATGTATCTAAAATTTTCTTTCAATCTTTAAAAAAATATTAGCTGTAATTTTTTATTTTCCTGTTAAAAAGTGCAAATATTATATAACTGCCTGTAATATATAACTTAGTGATCAATAAAACTATTAAGAACCCAACCAAAAATACTTTCATTAGTAAGTTTAAGTTAACTATAGATAACTATAATTTACTATAATTCACTAAAGTAAATCAAACTGTCAAAGTTATTACTAGTGATCCTTTTTTAAAGTGGTAATTACATGTAGTATATCAAAGTTTCAAAGTTATAATAATAATATTTCCATTTCTGTTTGTTTTCTCTGTGATATCTCTTTGAAAGTTAGGAGAGTTGATTTCTTGATCATTCTAACGGAATGCAAATTTCGCCAAGCGAAAGGTCAGGAGCTAAGAAGGCCTAATATGCATGTAATTCTCGTGCTGCTGTCTTTGTGTCTGACTCTAAGGAGGCCTAATATGCATCTAATTCTCGTGCGCCTGTCTTTGTGTTTGACGTCAGTGGGCGGGGACTATTGAAATTGACATGTGAGGCCTCGTGTAATTTAAATCTATTAGTCTACATTTTTAAAATCTAAATTTACAATTTTATTTCACAATGAAATGGAAATATAAAGAATCACTGTCTAGTTAGTAGAGTATGCCACGGACATCAACGATAGTTGGAAACATGGGATAATTTATGCATAACGGGCTTCGCCCGTTATGCAAATTATCCCACGTTTCCAACTATCGTTGATGCCCTGGCATACTCTACTAACTAGACAGTGATTCCTTAAGTAAATCATTTTCTTTGATGAACTTCTCATCTTATTCTAAAACTTAAATATTTTCAAGTTTTGCAGAATTCTCTTATTTAACCAATTATTCTTATTTAAAATTTTCTATTGTAAGTACTTTTGAAATCTAAAAATGTTCAATTTCTGCTTATGAAAAGATACTTATGAAAAAAAAATCACCTCAATCTGTGTGGGTGTTTAGCTCACCTGAGCTGAAAGCTCAAGTGAGCTTTTCTGATCACCTGTTGTCCGTCGTCCGTCCGTCTGTCTGTCCGTCTGTAAATTTTTCATATTTTGAATTTCTTCTCAAGAACCACTGGGCCAATTTTGACCAAAGTTAATACAAACCATCCTTGGGTAAAGGAGAGTTTAGATTGTAAAAATGAAGGGAAAAACCCCCTTACAAGGCGAAATATTCAAGAAAAAAACAAAAATAGGATGGGGTCATTAAAAAATCATCTTCTCAAGAACCACTGGGCCAGAAAAGCTGAAACTTACATGGAAGCATCCTTGGGTAGTGTAAATTCTACATTGTTCAAATCGTAACCCCTGGGGTAGGATGGAGGCACAATGGGGAGTCAAAGTTTTACATTGAAATATATAGGAGAAATCTTTAAAAATCTTCTTCTCAAGAACCACTGGGCCTGAAAAGCTGAAACTTACATGGAAGCATCCTGGGGTAGTATAGATTCTAAATTGTTCAAATCATGACCCCCGGAAGTAGGGTGGGGCCACAATATGTATTACAAGAGGAGAATCTGGTGAAGAGCAACAGGGCAAAAGTTACTCAGGTGAGCGTTGTGGCCCATGGGCCTCTTGTTTGTATTATTAAGATGGATCTAGTAAAAGAAAGATCCACTGACTTTTTATATTTGTATGACACATTAGTTAGTCAAAGTCTGCGAATTCCATTAAGTACTTCAAAACAGGCATAAAGAGTCATCAACATATTCACAACGATATAAAGAACAAAAAGTGATGATATAGAAATAAAAGTTTTCAAAGTTAACAGTATAGTTTCACAGTGATTTCTATAGTAAATCAAATTATCAAAGTTATAACTGTAGTTAACTATAATGTACATGTACATTGTTATAATTAAAAAAGAAGATTCTCTATATTTTCTTTAAAGAAAAACAGTCAACATAATTGATATTAGCTCGTCTTGAAAATATTGACTATCATTAAATTTTTACTATTGACCGGCAAAGAGAGTTCTCCCGCAATACTGTTGATGTTAGTTCTGATTAGTAGATTTGATTTATTGTAACGTAATTTAAAATCAATTCCTTAATTAGGTCAACTGTTCTTGAAATATTAACAAACTAATCGAACTACTTGAAATGTATACATCAAGATAAACCTCATCTACGATGCCTTCTCTTATTTTTGTACGCAAAAAGTTTATAGATAAAAGTAAAAATATTTTATAGAAGATATTTATCATTTGTTAATTATGAACATTCTTCTTCACATATATGCTATATGGACCTTTTATTTTCAATTAAGAAGAGTACAGAAGAAATGTTGTTCAAAAACTTATATTTCCATACCCCGACCATTAAATGTATTTATAGATTTCTTTTTATTTATTTTTTCGTTAAGGAATTTAGTGATGGTGGAGGATATCTTGAGGTAAAACCTTTCAAACATTTTTTTTTCAGTAATTAAAAAACGGAACCACATATGCTATAATTCGTTTTCTAAACTTAGTTATTTTAATTCAACAATGTGCGACAATTCTATTAATATTGTACTTATCATTTTCTCTGCAGCCCATTGGAGCAAGACCTATCGAAAAATTAAGCGTCAGCACCAATGTAAATCAGTCAAATACATCGACAAAATCTTGGAAACCTGTGTTGGTTATTCTCCTTATAAGCTTTCTCATCTGTGGACTTGTCACAACGAGCGCATTATTTGCTCTGGAGAAAAGTAAAACATACGTTATTCACACTGGCGTAAAAGTTACTTTTCACATGAAAAATTTCATTCATGTTTCCATTATTATGGTGGTCATGCTGATTTCGAGATTAAATGTATTGAAATATAATATTTTTTTCAATACATTTTATTAAATACATTAATTCTTTATAATTATTGTGATTGTTGGAAATATTTAAAATATTGAAAACTGGCATGTAGTTTTTAAGAATTTCCTCCTTATCCATTTTTCCAAAATGTGACCCTCTACTGCCCAGAACTATAATTCGAAAAAAATATTATTTTTTTTTTAAATCTACACTACCAGTGAATGCTTGCATATTAAAATAGCTAAACATGGCCGTATTGATATTTTTTCTACGAAGTTCTTTTCAAGAAAAAAAAAATCTATCCTCCTTTGCATTCCACGCTACACCCCAGGGATGGGAATGGTTTGTACATATGTAAATCTTCCTTACTCCTCCATGGACCTGATCTCGCCTTGTATGCCTTTGGAGGTCCGTGTTTGCCCTACTCCTAATTTGTTTTCAATAGACTTTTGAGTTTAATAACTGTTGGTTATCTTCATATTTAATCTTCCCACGTTTAACCTTTCATTACGAATCTTACCCCTATATGTCATGATTTGAACAAACGTCAATTGATATTAATTAAGAAAGTGTTTGGATAAGTTTTATTTTGTTCTGTTTTGGGTAAAGTGGCTCTAAAAAATAATATCTTTTTATTTTTGAATTATTTCCTCTTTTTAAAAATCGAATGAGGCTCCTCATTTAAACAAACTGATAAAAACACAGATCTTGTGGCAAATTAAACTTGAATTGGATCGATGGATATCGAATAAAAAAACAGTGAAAATAGGCAGATGTCTTAAGAACATTGATATTGAAAAGACGAAACTTTAAGATCATCTGTCCAATATAGTGTAGATTCAAAATTTTGCAAATCATGGTGTAAAGGGGATCAATTATTTAAATAGAATATTTTGAAAAATATGTTTATTTTTTTTAATAACACAAGACAGTGATAATTTATATATAATAATATACTGCGTCTCAAAAAATCATATTAAAGTGCTAGCATACCTTTGGAGTGTAAGTATATATTTGTTAAAATCAAGGCCCCTAGTGCTGAGATTGGGCTCAATTAAGAAGGTTTTTCAAATTTTCCATAGGAATGTTTTAGAGTAACAAGAAAACACTCAAAATATTAACAAGTATAATTATGCAACCATAACCAGGCCAACAAAGTCAACAATGTTCAAATTCTCCATACCGTAAACAGGGTGGGACTTAAATAAGGGATCAAATTAAGCATAAGGCATATACAAAGGAAACTGTTTTTCACACAGTTGCAACAGGGTCACATCAATCTTATAAATATTCAAAATTCCCATTATTTTAGGATCACATCTATTGAATTCATGACCCTTTGGTGCTTGAGTGGGAACAACATATGAGGCTTATTTTTTTTTTTTTAGCGAATAAGCTATAAACCCTCTATGATACGTATGAGCGAGATATCTAAGCATCTCACAAGCAACTCATTTTACTTTAATTGATCGTGTGACAGTTTTCTATGATCGATTCGCGAATAAAACATTTGCATACACAAGACGCTGTAACTGGTCACGGTAGCCTAGTGGTAAGGGGCTTGCTTCGTGATTGGGAGGCCGGCGTTCGATTCTCGTTCGCCGTGTCGCGTCAAACCTAATACGTAAATATAGCTAGCGACTGTTCCTTCGCCAAGCGCCTGGCACTAGAAGTGAAAGTCACGGGTCTTTCGGATGAGACCTTAAAAACCGAGGCCCCGTGTCACAGTAGCCGTTGGTACGATAAAGAACCCTCACTGCTCAATGGCCCTGAGTGCCAAATATAGGTCTAAATTTGGAAGCTCTTCACTGGGATACGGTGACTTCTTTATGTGAGTGAAAAATTCTCGAATGGGACGTAAAACAAATTACAATCAATCAATCAACTACAAGACGCTTTTCAAAAAATGAAAAGTTCTTTTAACAAAATCTTCTAAAAGAACTTCTGATGTGGTCCTCATCTCTCTTGTCGAGATACCATGTTAATTACCACACCACATTGATATCACAACTTAAATTGATGCAAAGCAAAACAAAAACATTGATTTTAGCGTTCTAATGTATTTTCACAAGAAAGAGTCCAAGGAAAAGAAATCAAAGCAGAAAAGGTATATGATGCATTTTTATTGCAAACTGAACACTTGCCTTATTTTTCTGCGCATTTTAAATACTTTAATTTTCAATGATCTATCAAAATTACATCGTCGCAAACCACTGCCAAAATGTACGATCCTCCCCCATTCTGGCCGAGGTTGAATGAGACGAAAATATTTCGTTGCTCATTAAAATATTAACCAATGCTTAGTAGAATAAAACTTTTGATATGACCTTTCATGATCCAATCGCAGTTTATGTAACATTTATTGTTTGTTGTTAAATTTAATTGCATTAGACTTTATGTGGTCAAGCAGCCAGAAACGGAAAACAGAAAACTATGAGCGGTCTTCGAACAGTGCCTTGAGACGATGTCAAAATAAATACATTCATGGAAATGAAAATAGGGCACACATTTACTGTGACTTGAATATTTTTGTTGCTTTCCGAAACACCAATGAACGAATAAACTTCACTCTTAAGGGAAGTGTACTTCCGAATGAAATTCTTGCGCTTGTTAGAAAAAATTGTTCACCAAGTAGCTGACTGAACGTTTTCATCTCAAGGTAAATGCATCAAAATAATGCTTGTAAGCACTTAACATGTTTTGAAAGATTTACATGAAGCTCTCAGTGCATAGTCAAAGTAGTGCAGGGCGTAATGTGTGCGCAGTTAGTGAAATCTGTCGGATGCCTAATATGGAATCATCTGTGATTGGTCGAAGCCGATCACAATAACAAATCCTTTAGATTTATTATTAAGGGAATTTTTTAAACTTTTATTCAAACCTTCCATGTATGTTATCAATAAGGAAATATTCAATCGAAGCAATGAAAAAATAACGTCTCATTTCTACCGCGGCCGATAATTAGATTCGAAATATTAGCAGCACTGTCAAGTTAATTTGAAGGAGGCGAGCCTGATTTATAAGGAAAATGTTTACTTTGATATATCACGCAAAAATCACAATTTTTCATAATACCAAAATACTAGATTTTTTAAGAAACATTATAGGAGTATTAACTACATCAAAACGTTCCTGTGCATTCATTTTTATCGCAAGTTAAATCCCACAAAGCGAGGTATTAACAAGTAGTTGATCGCAAAACACTTGAGGATGGTAACATTTTTGAGGCTTTTTATCAGCAGTGAGATGCTAATCAAGTATTTCTTCACAGAAAAAAGCTTTTTATTATCAAACAGAATATTATTTACAGATTTCAACCATATGTTTCAATGTATAACCTTTGTTTAATGCCATTCTTTAATTTTATTGCGTGAGTAAGTAGAAGCAATTTATCAATTTACAAGTTAAAATAAGCGTATGCCCTTGCAATATTGAATTTTGTTTTGACCAACATGCAGGTGCAGTGCAAATTGTATGTGTTTATCACTAGACAATCAATTAGGACCAATCTAATATACCTTTCAATGTAAAACCGTCACAATAGCTCAGCCAGTAGAGCGCTCTCTCCGTGATCAGAAGGTCGTGTGTTCGAATCACGGCCGCGACTTACCTAAGTCGATAAAAAAAAAAATAGGTAGCATATGTTCCTTCGCCAAGCGCTCGGCACTTTGAGGTGAAAGTTGCGGGTCTTTCTGATGAGACATTAAATCCGAGGCCCCGTGTCACGGTAGCCGTTGGCACGATAAAAAACCCTTACTGCTCAATAGTCCTGAGTGCCTAGTAAAGGTCTAAATTGGAAGCCCTTCACCGGTACATGGTGACGTCTCTATATGAGTGAAAAAATTCTCGAACGGGACGTAAAACAACATACAATCAAACAATCAACATATTTCAATGTAAAATATGTAGATAACGAGCCCTGATCAATTTCATCATTTTACATAACAAAACATCTATGTTTAATATGATGAATTATCAGATACAAATTTTCCTTGTTTAACGTGTTTTCAGCCAAACCACAGAATGATGAATTACGTAATTAACGAATTGAAACTTCATTAATAATATAATTGGACGAGGTTTACAAATTAACATAGCAACAAAACTTCAATGTTGGCAAAATCACAAAGTAAGCCTAAGAAACTGATGAAACCACAGTATTATTTCTTAGAACTATTCTAAATTGATATCAAATATTTATTGCTTCCTTAAGCAGATAAGATACCACGGCAATTGATAACTAATGATGAATTCATCATCAACCCGTGTAGAAATCGAAACCTAAAAACAACGGCACAGGGAAAGAAGGACTCAGGTAAGGAATGTTTGAACTTGAATATATTTTATATTATTTACATGTATGTTGAACATATTAATTAGAATTAACAAATATTACAGGAAGCACAGGGCGAAGTTTTCTTGTAAGCTTTATCCAAAACCACAAGGATGGAAACGAAACAAACCAAACAATCGTTGTGTCATCAGAAACCGATTTCAATTTAACGGTTTCACTGTCAGAGAATCAAAGATCAAACTTGGTGTCGATATCTAGTCATAAAAGTGGAAATGCCACATTGAAGAAGTTAAACGTACACTATTCTCTTGTTCCTTCTTACTTTACTACCGAATATAAAGCTATTCTTATTAACACCACCGCGGCGTCATCAATATTGTCCTTGTCCGAATATCTGTATTCTTCAGATTCCACGACAGTCTTCCCCGTTGACAAACTTTCAACACACTATATCATATCAACATCGACACCAACAAAGGGTGTTTTAGAGAGTGGAAGTCATTTCACTGTCGCTTCGATGAAAGACAATACGCTTGTAAGCATAGTGTTAACAGCGGATTATGATATAACGATATTGATACAGGGAAGAAATTATGGAAGAGGGGATACATTCAACATTATTTTAAATAGATATCAAACATTTCAAATTGGACATAATGCAGATTTGACAGGGACAACTATTC